TTCTGCTATTGTAACACGAATTATCAAACATATACATTCTTCGAGAAGAATTACTCTCCAAATAATGTTCATCCACATTTAAATATATACAAACATGAAAATTGATATGAAATTCGATTCCTTTACAACATATACAACGCATAAACAAACGATAGATGAAAATTTACCGAACAACAATTTATCAAAAATTCGAAAGAAACGAAATTTTACGTATATCAATCGAACACTTTGCGCATGTTCCTTAGTGAAACGAGAAGCATGAAATCCAAACAAATCGTATGAAATCGAACGTTATTTCGTTAAACGAGTGAGAGAATGAAAGATATTGAATGTAGATTCATGCGAAATCTACGGTTTTCATTTGATTAAAAACATTGTATATCGAGGATCGAACGAACGGTGAACATCTCACGGTAAAAATAATCGAATGAAAACGTGACAGAGGTGCGCGCGAACGCCGAGAAAATGATTCAGTGATGGTGCGTTAGACGCATCAGACGACGTCGGTGTATATATATGTAGCATGGGACCAACGGGGCTGGATGTAATTCGACGTTTTCGATTTGTATATCCGGCACGTCGACCCCATTGAAAACGGTCGGAAACGATAAAACAATATACCACGGCCGCGCTGCCGGTTTCCCGTTGAAAACACTTCGAAAATGTATTGAAAACACTCGAAAATGATTGAAATCAAACAAGTTACCAGGTGAACAAGAGAAATCTATCTATCTCGCGCTCATCGTGTCCGCGCGCTCTGCTCCTCGGTATCTGATCGAATGAATCATTTCAAATACCCCCCCGGTTGACGAGAGATACCATCTGTGAGACGGATGGATTTCACGCATCGAATTTGATCCGGGATTCGTCCAACGAATTCGAAAGTATTCTATATACGCGAGGCGACCGATCCATGTCGATAAATCGTTGATCGCGAACTCTGAATTTCTATTTGCTTTTTTTGGGAAAGGATGTTTTTTATATAAAGAAAAATGTTACATCTCGGATATAAGGATTTTGTTACGATGAATTATCGCAGTCTTAGAATTCGAAATATATTGGAAATGAGAAAAAGTATGGGGCGATTTAAGAATTTGGATTTTGAAAGTTGATATGGATATTTAATTTGCAAATCGAAATATGGTGTAAAGAGTGCAATAGCAAGCAAACAGCTTTATCTAAATGTAGTAGAAGATATAGACGCAAAAGATGTACAACATCTATTGAGATATTCTCTCTTCTATGGTCACGTGTGACACGTCCAATATATTGGCTATTCGTGATTTATAAAAGAGGATACTGCTATCAAACTAGAGAATCGATATCCTCAACAAACGCAAAAGCTATTAATAACGAAGCATTTGTTACATATAAAACGTATAAAATAATATTTCTAATTTTTATTTTTTTAATTGAGGGATATAAACAATATTATATATTTCTAATTTTTATTTTTTTAATTGAGGGATATAAACAATATTTATTTAAAAAATATAAACAATATTTGGAGATAATTATAATTCAAATAATACATAAAATATTTGAGATAAAATTAATAAAACAAATGATTTATAAAACGATATTTATAAAATTGTTACTTAATAGATATAAAATATACTAATAAGTAATTAAATAGCTGTTAATTAACCATCAAAAACATAAAATTAAATAAAATCATCGTGTCTAATTCAACGTATAAACAGGTCTATTTATGCAAGGCAAGAGATTATTACGTTATCAACAATTATTTTGATAAAGAATCATTAAGTAAGTTGCCATAATCTGATACAGAACCACTGCAAGTAGTAAGAGTCACGCATAGAATTGCCACCTTTCCTTGAAGCTTTAGTACCTATGTAACAATTAGCAGCGAATCAACTACCATATACGTGTAATACCAAAAAATGAAAATAATCTGATTAAATCGAAACATAATGTGATATATTTCAAAAATAAAATTTTGAAAAATTTAAACTTCAAATGTAAATGTATGATGCTTGAAAATATATATATACGTATAATAAAATATAGAAAAAAGAAAATGCAAATACAAAATTCAATTTTAACAAACTATTTGTGGTTTATATTCAATTTTTGTTTATTTACTTTTTTTTAGATTATATTATATCATATATTATATATATTATTTCATAAAGTTATGTTTGTCTTATTCCAATTATATTATGTTATATTATATAAAATATTTTTAAAAAAATATACATAGTAGGAAATGAGGTACATGTCTTAAAAATTTGGGAACTTCTTTACCATTTTTATGTCACATGCGATTTTACCGGTTCAGTATAGAAAACGATTGTAGCGTTAATAGTGGTTGGAATTAAAACTTGATTTTATTATAAATAAGATATAGATCAAACAGATTATCAGAAACAAAGTATATATAGATATTTATATTTCTTGATTTAATCATTTTTGTATATTTATAACATAAATGAAATATTGATTTTTATGGTAAATCTGAACACAATTTATTATGCTACCCTAATTTTTTTTTATTATATTGTATTCTGTAACGAATAAATTGTTATTTTCAAAATTATTAATATTAATGCAATGATTCTTATTCAGGAAAATTAAATAATAAAACAAATAATTATTTTTTATAAAAGACTTCATCAAATTTCTATTCATTGAAATATGTTTCTGTAAAAAATTAAAAAATATAAAATTTTAAGTATAATTTTACAAAAATAATAATAATGCTTACTTTCTTTTACATTGGAGTAAATTTAATCATAAAATAAGAGATATTTTATAAAAAAAATTCTACAAATTATAAATCAATTGATTTGCCTATTTAACATAAAATTGCAAAACTTCAATAAAGATTATCTATACTTTATCATTCTATCAACAATTTTTTAATATTATTAACTGAAAAAAAAATGTTATAAATTACTGTTACAAAAGAGAAACTTTCTAAATAAATTTCTCTAACTACTCTAACCTAAAAAAAAAATATTCAATTAATCCTCTTGATTGAATAAATCTCGTATATAATTGTACCAACTCAAACTAACGTTCTGCCAGTAATTATAATCGTTGCCTCGACGATATACGACCTATTCTATTTGGCTCACTGACCACAATAATTGGCAGTGGTCACGAGAGGACACACTTCGATACTTCTCATCCGTCAATTCATTAAGATTGCTTTCATACATGCCGATTCCCACGATGATTGTTTCCTAGCCTGAAGCGGCTCAATTATAGGCGTCAGTCTGCTCGCACAAACGCTTGCACATACAGGCATGCACATGCACGCACACAGAGAGGGATGAATATGGAGATGCAAAGGTTTCGAAGATAAAGAAGGAAATAGGAAGGCGGGGAAGAGAGGGAGAAAGATAATTCTCATTGTTCAGCAGTGGACGCCCTCGAGGCGTCTACCACTTCAAAGCCATTCGGTTCCCCGTAACTCTCATCGAACCAGAGTCCGGCAGTTAATGAACTGCCCTTCGGCGTTGCAATGCACGTTGGTGGTAGTACTAGTCGTCTAGGAACCTGGCCAAGTACCGGGAAGACCCATTATCCATTTACATAAAGGACCACAACGAGCCAGCTAAGGATTTACACTGCTCCCTTAACCCCCAAGAATTTCCGGAAACCGTCGCAGGATTAATAGTTGGGCCAGATAGGGCCACGACACGCAATTTTTCGATCAATTTTGAACAGCTCGTTGTATGTAACGATATTTACGATCGACATGTGCACGATCAACACGATATCGTTGATATTCATGTTAATTGTAGCGATAACGATTCTTCCATTCTTTGTTTTAAATAACGATATCATTGTATCGGTATTGCGTGCGCAAACGCATACCATAAAATCGCAATTGTTATTAGTCGATTTCATAGACTGCGTCGATATAACGCAACTATTATCACTAGAATGGAATATAAACTCGGTTAAACAGTTTCAACTGAAATATTCCTTTAGAGAATTGCCGTTTAATGTAAATTATATATTTAAGTATTTATTTATTAATCCTCCAGGATTGTTATTTGCTAATAATTATACTGTTTGTTAACAATACCATGAAATGATATTGCAATTGATGATATTTAGATATTTGATATTATAATAAAAATAAAGAATAGGCATATTGATCAATTATTTGAATAATTGGATTGATAAAGTTAATGAAAAGTTGAAATTTCAAAATGTTGACTGATAATATATAGATTTCTAAGTATTACTATGTAATTTTTCAATATTGTAATATGTTCAAAAACTAATAAATTACAAAATATAATTAAAAATGATTATATCCTAAAAAACCATAAATATTAGATAATATTAATGTAAAATAGGAATAAACTTGTTAATTAATTATATTAAAAATAAGTTCTTAATATATCGTATTATATATATTTAATAAAATTATCTTAATATAAAATATATTAACTGAATCAATCTAATTTATTCGATTTAATAATATCGAAAACAATTTGAATTAAAACATTTAAACGCAAGCAAATTGATCGAAGAAACTTACATCGATATTTAAAACAGATTTTTCCAATTTATGAAATGGAAACTAAAACACTTGATTAAAAATCAATAACAAATAATAACTAACATTAAATAAAATCAACATAACATTTTTATTTTACAAATAAATATATAGATGGCAATGAAAAGATATTATACGATGTAATAATAAAAATAATCATACAAAAAAACAAATGTCAAAGGCAAAACACAATGAATATAGCTACATAAGCAAATTGCAATGATATGAAATCAGTGGGGTTGAAGCCACGTGAGCGCAGTGGTATCGCCCATCTCGCGTCCGACACAGTGGCGACATCTCGGACGCGATATTCGTGAATTTATTCCTAAAGCAACGCACAATGATAAATCTTCCTTCGCGCAAAGGATTTCGCGTCTCTTAATCGCGATTAAAACCAGCGAATACCTTAACCTACAGTCGTCTCAAAAATAAGCAGATAAATCATCAGAATAGACTACTCACCTGAACCATTGATGTGTGTT